GGAGCTCTGGATCTTTGTCCCCAGGATAGCTTCTCCATTTGGCTTGGAGATCCTGAAGAGCAGGGCTTGTGTCTCATTTCTCTCAGTGTCCAGCCTAGGGTCTTGCCCATGGGGCACACCAGGTAATGTCTGAAAAGTAAACAAGGCTAGAATTGAGCTGAGTCTTGGATAAACGAAGGTGAAAGGAAGAAAGTATTTCAGGGACAGTCATAGTAACAACATGGTTGGAGAGATACGGCACACATGACAGACCATCTTGAGAGAGGGACACATTAGTTTTGTGAGGGAAGGTGGCATTCATACCAGTGCTTTCTCAAATATGTCCAGTCCTCACATCAACCCTGAGGGAAAGATGTAATATTCCCATTTTACAGATGAGGCTACTGAAGCTCAGGAAAGGAAAAGTGACTTCCCGAAAAATTGGCTGGACAGGAGTATAAATAGGCCTACCTGACTGCTCAGTCTAGAGACGTAGGTAGGGGAAATTGGTAGCCCTAAAGGTAGGCACCGTTTGGGGGCCCTCTCTAAGAACTCCGTGCCCATGACACCAACCTTTGTCCCAAACTGAAGGTGATGTCAAATGCCTGGGTCATGATCCTACGGTGTGACATGATCCCCATGCTGGCTCAGGTAGGAGTTGGGGCAGTAAATGGCAGGTGGTTTCATCCCCAGTCCATTGTGCACACGGCTGCTCCCACCTAATGTGCTTCTCTCCCTGCCACCTCCCTACTCACCAAATCCTCTTCTTTCAAGTTTGAATCAAGCCTCTCCTTCCCCTCATGCCCCTCATGATGCCTGCTGGAGTAGGCTTGACACTTCTGGGTATTGAGTCTATACTTGTCCCTAACAGCACCCAGTCCCGGGAGGTGTCCTTGAATGTTTGCAGAATGAATGGGTGTGCATACATACCCAGGAAATCCCCATCCTTCAGGCTTCCAGGAAAAGGCAAGGCCTTCCATGTCCCAGCCCCTTTCTTGGTGAGGTCAAAGGCTTGCTGAGTCCAGCAAGGCTAGAGGTTGAAGCAGCTACCTCTGGCTGTAGGATCCAATGGACCTCCTGAGGGAGGAAACAGGAAGGCTTCCAGGACCGCTCCACACCCCCAGGGCCTCCCTGGCTGGGTGTGGGAGAACAGAGGGCACAGGGCAGGGTGGGCAGGGCTGGGAAGGGCTGAGAAGCCAGGTCACCAGGCCACCTTGGGGAGGAGGAGGCTTCCTGCCTGCCTGACAAGCCAGCCAGGGAGGAACCACCTGTGCCCTCTCCTGGCCTGCTCTGATAGCCTGAAAAAGAGTCAGTGCTGGGCCCATTGTCAAGAAGCCTGTGTTCCAGATTTCATTTTACACTTGCTAAGAACCTGCTCTGGGCCATACTGGCGGTGGGTGGGGTGCAAAAGATGGCTAAGATCCATTTCATCTTATAGGGAAACTCACACCAGACATTTAAGGAAAAAAAAATTTTTTTAAGGAAAAATTAAAAGAGCTAATACTCATTGAGCACTTTGCCATGTGCCAGAGACTGATCTAAGTCCTTCACGTGTATCCTCAATGAATTGAACATTCACAACAAACTATGAGACAAATGCTATTCTTAGCTCCACTTGACCATTGGGGATAATGAGGCACAGAGAGATCAAGAAGCTTGCCCTAGATTACACAGTAAGTAAACTGCATGCAGGCATCTGGCATTATTTGTCCTCATACTACGCAGCCTCTATGCGACCCCAGGGCCAGCTGCCCCAGCCAATACATGCAGCTTCTTAATCCCTGCCCTGTCTCCTTGCCAGCAGCTTGTTAGGCTCTGTACACTTGCCAGGCACCAAAGAGTGCTTTACAATATCACCACTTTCATTGCCCTTTGCTGCCTGCCACAGTTACCTCTTTCCCCGTGGGCTTGCTCCCTGTGGAAGCTTCAAGCTCCTGTGACCCCCCCCCATCTCATGGTCTCTTGGAGTGTCTTGCACAAAGTAGGTGTTCAGATGTGTTTGCAGTTTGGTGGGTTGTGGAGGCTACTTTCATTTTCCCCAGGTCTCTGTGACATGAACTAAGTGGCTCTCAATTTGCACACTGGAATCACTTGGGGGTGTTTTAACTACTACTGATGCCCAGACACCACTCCCAGAGGTTGCGATGTCATTGTTGAGGGGTATAGTCTGAACATGGGGATCATTAAACACTCTCAGGAAGTTTGTATGTGCAGCCAGGGCTGAGAACCCCTGTATTGACAACATTTTAGAATACTTGGAAATTTCCATTGAGGGCAGACAGTGTGTGGAAGGGGCAGGGGAGCAGAAAGAGCCTGGACTTTGGAGATGGGTAGGTCAGATTCACAGCGTAGCTCAGCCACTTACAAGTTGGGTGAGTTTGGGCAAGTCAACTTTCCCAAACCTCAGCTACCTCATCTGTAAGAAGGGATAATTGCATCCACCTTGAAGTAAAGTTCCTGGCACTGAGAAGGCACACGTTGAAAGAACTGCAATACATAGCAGCTATTAAAGTGGGTTTTACATCTCTTCATCCAACATACAATTACTAAGTGCCAGGTACATCGGTATCCTTGGGGGACAATCAAAACAAGACAGTTGCAGTCTTGCGCCATTTATATTCTAGCAATCCAACTTAACAAACTTGATTGGGTTTTGGATATCAGGCATCACCTGGGTGCACAGATGAACAAGACTTTGTCCTTGCCCTAAAGGAAAAGAGAAGTGGGCACTAATGACAACTAAAACAGGGGAAGGAAAAAATAAAATAAAACAGGGGAAGGAGAATGCCTTTTATGTATTTTATTTTTTAAAGATTTTATTCATTCATTCATTCATGAGAATACACAGAGAGAAGAGAGAAAGAGGCAGAGACACAAACAGGCAGAGGGAGAAGCAGGCTCCATGCAGGGAATCCGATGTGGGATTCCATTCAGGGTCTCCAGGATCAGGCTCTGGGTTGAAGGTGGTGCTAAACCGCTGAGCCACCGGGCTGCCTTTTTTTTTTTTTAAAAAAGATTTTATTCACGAGAATGTCTTTTAGATACAAATCAAGAGTGGTAGGGTTCAGTGGAGAAAGCCATCTGGAGGGAAGATCATATCCATGGAAGATACCTGACAGGGCCCTTGAGGATGGATATGATTTTGTAGGATGGAATTGGGGATGGGGGTGGAGTGGCTTAAAAGCATGGAGGCAGGAACTAGCCAATAATCCAACCTGCCAAAAGAGCTGGCTGTGCATACACAAGAGGGGAGAGGTTGCATGTGTGGGCCTGGGAAATGCAGGCTGAAGCCTTTGCTGCCAAACTGAGGCATTTATACTCTTTTGCCAGGTGTGGGAAGCATGCAGGAGCTGGAGCAGAATTGCTTGATTCTTAGCTCTTCATACCTGGCCCTTCCTCTGGTTTCATTCTGAAATAGGTACCCTTGCTGCCACAGGTGAGGGTCTGATCAACTTCCTCAACCTTAAGCATAAAATGCATTTCTAGATGGTACCTCCCTAGGCAATTGCATTTGGCAAGTGCAGTGCAAGGAGCACCAAACAGAATCTGGATAGGCCTGGTTCCAATCCTAGCTCTGCCTCTCATCCCTGTGTGACCTCAGGCAAGTCACTTTTTCTTTTCTGAGCCTCTGTTTCCTCATCTGAAGAATCACAGGCTGGATGGCATGATTGACAACAACTCTTCCAGCTGTGATGTTCTTTGAGTAATTTGCCGAGTATCAAACCTAAGAATGTCTGTTTTGCCTCATGCAAGGGGATGCTGTTGTTGCAAGTTAGGTGTTCAGCATGAGGCTCATAGGGGAAGGGATGGAGAGGCAACATATAGGAGTTCTGGCAGTGTCAGCTAAGTCCAGCTCGGATTCATCATAGCCCAGGCTATGACGTGAATGAAGAAGCCTCCAGAATATTCCAACTCCCAGCCTTTCAAATCATTCCAACCACTCAGTTCTTCCCATTTGAAGCCCTGGACATTGTGGAGCAGAGATAAGCCATCCTGTGGACCATCTGAATTCCTGACCCTCAGGATTTGTAAGCCTGACAAGATCGCTGTTTCAAGCCACCAAGGCTGAGGTGGCTTGTTCCAAAGCAATAGATACTGGAATTGGGGAGGTATGTGTTTTGAGGGTCGTCTGAGGATGAAGGGTCTCCCTACACTGGTGAAACCTCAGTGACTGTCCTCCTCTGTCACTGATTTTGGAAGATATCCCTGGTCTTGGGTGTTACTCTAGGTAGCATGGTGCTTTTGGGAAGGAGGCTCAGAGCCTGCACTGTCCTGGGATGTAATAAAGTTTATAAACAAGGAAGCTCTTTGGTCTTTCTCCTGGCTGTCCAGGCAGTGGTCAGCTGGCGGTAGGGGTGGGGTGGAGAGCAGGGCTTATCTGTACTTGTCAGCACCCCAGTCTGTGTGGGGGAAGTTGCTCACACTGGTGGAGGTCGTCCGGGTGCATCTTACATGTGCTTTCATTTCAGCCCCATAATAGTTCTGCTAGATACTGTAAGAAGGGGCCTTACTTGCCCCACTTTACTGATGAAGGAACAGCTCAGGTGCCATGCCCAAGACTATACATGGGAAATGGCAGAGCAGGGCTTTGAACCAAAGGGCAAAACTCTGCATCTAACACCTTTTCCTCCCTTGAGGCGCCCTGTGGCTGACTTAGGGATGGGCAACTCTGGGAGGGGGCCTCCATTTCCTTGCGCTTAAACAGTCTCTTCTCTCCAAGTAAGTTCTATCTTGGCCATGATTCTGTTTCTGCTTCCTTCTTCCCATCACCCTCTCCACTCTCATTCCTTTTTTTTTTTTTCCCTCCTGGGATTTTTGGCAGAAGGAAAAGAGGAGGAATCCACTGCCAAGTCCTTTATTAAGGAAGGCTTGATGGTGATGTGGGCCTTCACTCACCAACCTTGCAGAGGCTGGGGGGAGGGGGCAAAGAGGGCAAACGAGGTTAAACCACTCCCAAGCTGGGGGTTGGGGACGGTGAGGGGAGTGTCCCTCTGCATCTCAGCCTCCACCCAGCTGTGAGACGTCGGTGGTGAGGTTCCCAGAAGAATCCATCAGGGAGCATCCTGGCTGGGAGGGAGGAAACGGCCTGTTCCCTGGTGGGACTTCCTCTCTCACGGTGTGTGCGTTGGGGGTGGCGTGGGGGTTGTGTGTGTGTGGGGGAGGGCAAGGAAATACCCTTTTCCGAGCGATTGTGCCAGGCTCTATCACATTATCCTCGGCTCATTTACATCAGTTTCGCAGATGAGGCTTGGAGAGGTTAGTGGACTTGCCCAGGGCCGCTCGTCCTGTGCGCACAGGAGCCCGTACGGACGCCAGGGGGGTCTGGCCTCGGGCTCTCGCCGCGACTGCGGGAGGCTCTCGGGCCTCCCCTCGGGGCCGCGCACAGGGGGCCCCCAGCAGGGGGCGCCCCGAGCCCCGGGCCGGGGCCGCCGGGCGCGCCTCCTGCCGGCGCCTGGGACCGGGCCGGCCGCTCCGCCCCCTCGGCTCCTCGGCGGCTTGGCGGGCGGGCGGGCTGCGGGCGGGGAGGAGAGCAGAGCCGAGCGCCGCGCACCCCGCCGTGCCCGCCGCGCACCCCGCCGCGCCCGCCCAGCGCAGCCTCCCGCCGTGAGTAGCGCCCGCGTGCGGGCCGGACGGGCGGGCCAGGGCGCGCGGGGCCGGGGCCGGGGCCGGGGCCGGGGCCGGGGCCGGGGCCGGCGGGGCAGGTTGCTCCCCCGCGCCCTGTCGCGGTCCCCTGGCCCGCAGCCCCGGTCCCTGACGCCACCTCCCGGGGTTTGGGCCGCCCCGGACCTGCCCGCCGCGCCCCGGGGGCGCGCTCCGAAGCCCGGCACTTTGACCCGAAGGACCGGGTGGGGGCGGCGGGCCCAGGCCTGGCACCCCGGGAGGAGATAGGAAACAGAGTTTCATCAACTTAGCGCCCCGGGATGGTTAGAGCACTGCAGGTTTCTGGGGGGGGGGGGCGGGGCGGAGAGGGGCCCGCTTCTCACCCTCAGCCGCCTCGCACACCTCCTCTCCCACTTGGCAAGGACGCGATTCCAGAAGGCTGCCCCGCTCGCTGTCAGCTTGCCCGTGGCGAATGAAGCGGTGGTCCCCGTCGTCAGGGGCCCGGGCCGGGGCCAGAGCTGGGGTGGGAATGTGGGAATGTGGGTGGCCGGGAGGTCTGCAGCAGGCTGGGGTGGGTAGGAAGGCTTGTCAGCAGTTGACCCTGACTCTGGGCCGGGCATTGTGGATGTCTCAGGGCATGTGTGCGTCTGGCTAGTCCTCACTGTAGCTTTGCGAGGTGGAAGTTAGTATCCTCACTTTAGGGAGGAGAAAGTGAGTCCCAGCGAGGTGGGCATTGAGGCCATGCAGGTAGTGCATGATTAGGGGTGCACCCTGGAAGACAGGGAGTCCTCGTTGGTTGCCCCAGAAGCAGGTGGGAAGGTCCCTGGAGGCTGGTGGAGAGAACACAGCCTCTGACACTTGTATTCTAGAATCCAGTGGAGGGCAGCTGGGGGCTGCCTCTATGGTTTCTGACTCTGTTGCCCAGCTGCCTCCATGTAAGGTGTTTCTGGGAGAGTCCTGGAGACTAAGGGGGTCTGGTGCTTGGGTCTCTTCAGAAATACTTTCAGAGTCCTGTTCTTCCTCAAACCACCCATCTCCTAAGATGTGTTTTTAACATGTAAAGTGGCCCTACTGATAATTCAGCTGCTTTGAGAGAGGCTGGGGCAGGGGGTACAGGGGTGTGTTGAATAAAGGTGGGGGTGTGCTGGCGTAGAGCAAGTTTCCAGTTAACGGGAATGAGACCTGAACTGATCCTGACCATCTTCCCAGGGTTTCCCTCCTTATTGGATGTGAGAGCGAACAGGAACAAGCAGGCTGTCCAGTGGAGCTGGACCTTCACTAGAAAAATGGGGGTTTCTTGTGTCAACTTACGCAAATGGCTGATCTCTGAGCCTGAGCTTCCTCATCAGAGGTAGCCTCTCTAAGCCTGGTCAAAGGCTTGAATGCATGGAGGGGCTCTGTGGACAGTCTCCTCAGAGCTTGAGTGTGATGATTCCTAATATGGGGGGAGGTATAAGAGGACAATCATGCCTGCCTCCTTGCAGTGGTCCCATTTTGCTGGCTGACACTGAGTGAGGATCTCTGAATGTCCCACAGAGTGAGCTGGGGCCAGTGAGTGAGAGGACTTCATAGGGTTGAGGGTTTCCTGTGGGGGTGATCCTGTAGTCCTGGAGGGCTTCTCTCAAGTTATCCCTCAGGAGGCCAGTGATTTCCCCAACCCTGGTGCCACATTGGAGGGTTGAAGATGCTGTTATCAGAATCCCAGGCCAAAACAGCTGGAGTGGGCTAGCTGGGTGACTTTCAAGCCCTGTCTGGACCTCAGTTTCCTTCTTTTGTCAGACAAGTGGGTTAAACCAGACAGCAGTGGGTTTTTAAACTTGGCCGCTTACGATGAATTCTTACACAGAACCCCAACCTATGGTAAAGATAAAGTGGAAATGCTCTGGCTCCCCTTCCGCATGCTGGTGGCTCCTGGAGCAGAGTCTGGAAATCCCCTGGGTGATCTCTGAGGTCCTTTTTTGTGAGCTTCTAGGAAATCTGTGTTAAACCTCAGAAGGGTTGCCTACTATGAGCGTTGAGGGCAGGAGTGTGAGTCCTAATGATTCCATTAAGAGAAATGTAAGCATTAAGGTGGGCTTCGTCCTTGGAATGTCTGGAGCAGATATCCTGTGCCTCTGACCAAAAGTTGTAGCTGTATCCCTCCCCTCTGCTGTGTGGTTTCATCTTTTCAGGGCCAGAAAGGTACCTGTGCCCTGTGGCCTTCTCTGGACCCTCACTGGTAACTATAATTCCACCTCAGAATTTTTTCCCTTTAGTTTTATGTCTCTAAATTGATAAAAATTGATAAAATGCAAATTCCTCTTGGGGAAAGATATTAGGAAAAGACTTTTAAGTTATTACTGGTTGTTTTTATCTGATGAGGCAGCTGAGCAGCAACCTTGAGAAGGGAAACAGGGCTACTACATTTAAGTCAGCAGAACATTTAGGGAGTGCCTGTTGTATACCAGCTGCTACAAGGGGACAGATGTGAGATTGTCATAACCACTGTCCTCATGGGGCTCCAAGATAGTAGGTAGGAGAGAAGGAATTCACATTTGTTAGAACCTTCCAAACACTACATAAGTCATTTTACCTATGTTTATCTCATCTGTCAAAAAGCAGATCTTAGTCTCATTTTTTATTATGTAAAATTTTGAGTGGATACAAAATAAGTGTACATATCACATATCCATGTAACCATTACCCAGAGCAAGAAGCAGCATTGCCAGCACCCAGAAACTTCCCTTGTGTCCCAGACATAACCCCCTATCCAGGGGTAACCACTATTCTGACTTTTAGTACCATGGATGAGTTTTGCCTAAGTGGAATCACATGGTATGTGATCTTTTGCGTCTGGCTTCTTTCATTCAACATTAAGCTTATGAGTTTTATCTCTGGGGTTGCACATAGCAATAGTTTATTTTTATTGTGTATAATTTCATTGTATGGGTGTAACTCAATTTACTTATCTGTTCTTCTACTGATAGCCCTTTGGTTGTTTCTGATTTTTAGTTATCACTAGAGCTGTTGTGAACATTCTAACATGGGCCATTTTGGAAAACATCTACAGGCCACTTCTCTTAGGTATGTCCGTAGAAACTGCCCAACAGATTTCCAAAGTGGTAGTCACAGAGTATACTTCTCCTTGAGGGTGTTTGAGAGTTCTGATTGCTCCACGTAGTCACCAACACTAGGCATTGTCCAGACTCATTTTCTTTGTAAGTAATTTGAAGCTCAGAAAAGTTGTACCATGTTCAGTGTGTGCCGAGGTAATAGAGTTGGGGTTCCAGCTCAGTCCTGTGTGACTGTAGAATCTGTGCTTCCTCCTTCTATGTTAGACAGAGACAGTTATGAGCCAAAATATGAAAAGCCCTAACCCTAAAATGTATGAAGAGACCTCTCTGGGAATTTAAGGGGGGAGGGGGATTTTAAGCTGTTTTGAAAAAGAGTCATGGAGCCTCACAGAGTTGGTGGCATTTGAGCCAGGCCTTATGGGAAGGGAGTGGTTTTGTTAGGAGGGCTCTCCAGGTGGGCCTTCCATGGAAAGGGCACAGCTTGAGCTGAGGAATGGCAAGGGTGAAAGTTTGGGGGGAATGGGAAAGGTCTACTTCGGCTGTAATATAGGATATGTAGGGGGAGAGGGCTAAGGCTGGAGAGTTTAGTTGGGGCCAGACTGATGGTCCTAGTTTGTCCTTGGGGAGGCTTCCTTGCCCCCTACCCCCTGGCTACTTCTGGAGCTCAAGGCAGGGACTCATCATTTTGCTAGGGAGCTGGGGCTGCTTCAAATCCAGTTCAGCTCCTGATTAGCAAATGAAGCTGGCCTGTTGCCAAATGGAGGATCTTAGCTGTTTTAGGGACTACTCTCAAAAGAATTTTTTAAAGTTTTCTGCTTCCCTCTAGGTGTGTGAAGTGAGTAACCTCTCAGGATGCCTCAGGACCTACCTGATCCAAAAGAAGATGGTAGATAGCAGTCCTACCACCCTCTGGGCTAGTCTCAGGAAATTTGCCAGGATAGGGGTTGGGGGGTGCTGGTGAATGAGGAGTTCTAGCTTCTGATTTTGGTCAAGCCAAACTTTCCAGGAGGATCCCAAAACCTTTTCCCTAGAAGGGAATTCCTGTAGGAAGCAGAAACACAAATAGTGGCCTGCAATAAGCCAGATATTAACAGTAATAATCACCTTTCTTATTTGCCTGTTTATGCCCTTATCACAAATGGATCCCCACATGGCTGTGTGAAGTAGATGATAGAGATGTCATCCATCAAACCCTGTTTACAGAGGAGGGGACAGAGGCCCAGAGGGTGCCAACCTGTGTGGGTTACACAACTAATACACACCCAGGCCAGTCTAGAACTGGGGCTCCTGGGAGCCTGTTCTTTTTTGTATTCCATGCTTGCTGGGCTCAGGTCAAGCACAGGGTGAAGACTGGGCAGGTAGAAGGATGCCTGATGGACCATGTGCATCAACAGGCAGGAGTTCAGCAAGTGATCATGAGAGTAAGGCCCAGGAGCCAGGCCACTCTTGCCTGGGGGACCTCAAGAATGTGTGTCCCATGGAAGGGAGAGAGGCAGGCGGCATCTTGGTAACAGAGCTATGATTTGCAAGGGACAGGGTTGGAGTAAAGAGGGTGAAATGTGTATTATACACACACACACACACACACACACACACACACACACACACACACACATATATATTCTCTGAGAGTTGTAACAGCTCCAGCCACTTGGCATTGATGAGACACACCCTTATATAATGGAGCCTCCACCCAGTCTGGTGAAAACAGTCTTTTGGGGCTCATGGGGCCCCGGGCATGGTTGATATCTGATTGGCAGTCAGGAGCAAAGTTGTCAATGCTAGCCAAAATGAGCTCTGAGAAGCCTTTGCTAATGACTCTTGAGAGACACACCCCCAGGCAGCTGGTTTATCTTTGTCATTTGTAGACTGTGCCCTGGGTCCTGCCCTTGGGGTGCTGTCCAGGGTGGCATGTGGCTGTCCCAGGAATGGGTGAGCTTCTTGGGGCAGGGAGATCCCAGGTAGGATGTAAACAGTCTTCTTCTGGTGGAGTGGTAAACACTCCCCATGGCTCAGAGTTGCCCTCTGGCTCTCACTGAGGTGCTCTGGGCAGGCAGTTAGGTCCATTTTATAGGTGAGGCATCTGAGGCTCCTCTGACAAGGGATGAGGTCACAGAGCTAGTTGTGGCAAAGCTGGCAACAGAACCTCCAGCTCCTAACTCCTGGTGCCTACTATAATTTGTCACACCACTCCTGTCCCTCTTTCCCTTGAGGTGATGAGTGAAAGGGTTTACAAATCAGTTCAGACTTGCATTTGGGTGGTATAAGCCCCCAAGGAAGCTGAGGTCATGGTAATCTCTTACCTTTCCTTTTTTTTTTTTTAGATTTATTTATTTATTCATGAGAATACACAGAGAGGAGAGAGAGAGAGGCAGGCTCCATGCAGGGAGCCAGATGTGGGACTTGATCCCGGGTCTCCAGGATCATGCCCTGGGCCGAAGGCAGCGCCAAACCGCTGAGCAACCCAAGCCACCCAATCTCTTACCTTTCCACTGCATTTTATAATTTACAAAATAATTTCATGATTTGCAGTGGTTTTACAGTATTAACCTCTTTAGCAGATGGGGAAGCTAAGTCTGGCGGTTTAAATGACTTGCCCAGGCAAGTGGGACTTGAACCCAGAACTTCCGACTCAAAGATGAATGCTTTTTCCTGCTTCACGGCAGCCTCTTTTTCACAGTAGATCTGAATTTCATGAGAACAAATGGCCAAAGTTGGCCATGGTGCTGTTTCTCTGAACTTGTTCAGAGCAGATCTGAAGAAGTGACGAGGACTCCTTTTCTGTCTCCTTAACAGGTTCAAATTGATATAAATCAAATAAAAACCAGACATCATCAGTCACTAGTGAGAATAGGCTTGAGGAGGGTAGTTCTTGAGGAACTAGGGCTGTGGATTATTGTTAAATTATAAACTCCAGACAGGGACGGCCTGGCCTGGGTGGCTTAGCGGTTGAGTGTCTGCCTTCAACACTGGGAATGATCCCGGGGTCCTGGGATTGAGTCTTGCATCAGGCTCCCTGCAAGGAGCCTACTTCCCCTCTGTCTCTGTCTCTGTCTCTCTCTCTGTGCCTCTCATGAATAAACAAATGAAATCTTAAAAAAAAAAAACTCCCATGCAGCTGATAACTTTTAAGCCTGGACTCAGGCTTGCACCAATGTTCCTGGCTGGCCTGACCTTGGGTTTCTTTTGGTTTCAGGCTGTATGCTCCAGGCCTCAATGAGGAACTCAAACATGGAGACATTCAAGCAACAGAAGGTGGAGGACTTTTACGACATTGGAGAGGAGCTGGGGAGGTAAGAGCCTGGGAGAGGTGGAGGGGGCGCCTCTCCTGGTGTGCTTATTGCTTGATCATGTAGGCATGAGCTTGTCACGGGACTCGTGGGAAGCCTTAAAAACAATCCTGAGGAATTCATCTTCATGTGTGGCTCCACAAGTAGTCATTTCTGTGGAAATAATGACCTGCCAGGGGAAGGGACTAGAGTTCTTGAGCCCTGTGTTTTCAGTATAGCCTGTCTGACAGTTATGGGGAGTCTAAATGATTCTTGTTTCATTTTCTCACAAAGCCCTCCCCAGACTCTGCCCTGAGACCTGGCCTGTGGTTTTCTTCTCTGAGCCCCACCTGGGATTCTCCATGGCTCCCAGGATTTTGTTTCATAAGCTTAGCGCCTGAATGGGAGGTGAAGTAATCCTCCTGAAAATGGATTTGCATTGGGTAACAGGCCACAGGAGCCTAGTCATGAAGGTTCCTAGGATCTGAGCGATTGGGTGCATTTTTGGGTTTGCTAAATCCAGAATGTAGCCAGGGATGAATTCTGAGATCTGAAAGTAGTTATTGTTTGGAAAGGAATGAATATTTTTTTTCCTGAAGTTTTCTTCTTGCCTCCATTTCTAGAATCTGCTAATATTTAGATGGTTTTTTAGTAATTACAGAACACCAGCCCAAGGGTTTGATTTTCACCATGATGCCTGAAATGGAAATTCATTTCACTCACATTTTTCATGTGAGGAAACTGGTCCAAAGAGATTAGGCAAGTTGCTCGAAGTTGCTTAACCAGAGAGTGATGTAGCCAAGGTCTGGCCAGTCCAGTTTATACCTGCACACCTGTCATGCCTTTTCCAATAAGTACAGCACTTGCCCACTTACCTGTGCCTATCAGTGCAGCCAACCTCACCCCTTCACACCCCCAAGAGTAAAAACTTGGGGGTTTAAGGCTTTTGCTGTATCCACGATGCAAGACAGGAGGTCTTTCCCCTTTTTATAGAGCTCCTGGGTTCAGGCCTAATTCTCTTACTTCAATTTTATTTTTAATTTTATTATTTTATTTATTTTATATTTTTTAATTTTTTTTAAAGATTTTATTTATTCATAAGAGACACACACACAGAGAGAGAGAGAGAGAGAGAGAGAGAGAGAGAGAGACAGGCAGAGGGAGAAGCAGGCTCCATGCAGGGAGCCTGATGTGGGACTCGATCCCGGGACCCCAGGATCATGCCGTGGGCTGAAGGCGGCTGAGCCACCAGGGCTGCCCTAATTTTATTATTTGTAAAAGATTTATTTATTTGAGAGAGAGAGAGAGAAAGAGAGAATATGAGTGGGGGGAGGGGCCGAGGGAGAAGGAGAGAGAATCCTCAGGCACACTCTCCCGGAGTATGGAGCCTGATGGAAGGCTTGATCCCAGGACCCTGAGATCATGTCCTGAGCTGAAATCAAAAGTTGGACGCTCAACCAACTGAGCCACCCAGGCACCTCCATCTTTTCCCTTTTTTTTTTTTTAAAAGACAAAATAGAAAGAGCTTCAAAGCCAGAAGAGCCTTATTTCAAGAAGAAGGTGCAATTATTTCAAGTCCAGGAAGTGCTTGTCCTGGCTGACTGGCTGGCTGGGTGGGGGAGCAAAGGACTGCAGAAACCCAGGGGGAACATAAGTCCTCAGCCTTATGTCTGAGCTGACTGCCACTGGCAACCCAGGGACTAGGGGAAGGGGTGGGAAGAAGATGGAGGGCCAGAGGCTAGATGGTGGTCAGTTGGAGTCTGCCTCTGAATGGGTAGTCAGGGGGTTCTCTTGACGTGATGATACCAGGAGGAAAGTGGAAAGTTCAGCAGCAGGCCCTGGCAGGCCCTGCCAATGGCATCTGATTCAGTAGCCTCACCTTGGCCACATCTTAGCTGTAGGGGTCTGTGCTAAGTCCTCCAGGCACAGAGATGAGCAAGACATGGACAGTTTCTGCCCTCCTGGATCCAGCTCTTACCTGGCTGTGGGGCAGCCAGGCATCTGCCAAGGGCAGAGTTGGAAGGGACCTTGTCTGTCCTTCTGCAGAAGAAAGTAGAGCCAGATTCCTGGAGAATTAATCTATTATTCCTTTTTAGTCCTGTCTCTCCCCAACTTCATGCATCAGGGCTATTAGAGCTGGAAGAGGCCTCTTGTTCTTTGGTCCTCACAGACTAGGAACCTTGGATCACCCACCCCCTTACATTTCTAAAGTGCTAACTGGACATAGGGTGGGTAAGAGGCTGCAGAGTCCTGAGTCCTTTGGAATATCTTGACCTCCTGTGGTTTGTGGTCCAGAGTCCAGATGAGCTTGAAGGCCTTTAGAGATCCTTTCTTCCATGCTCTTCATCTGAAAACTGAGGAGACCGAGGCTTGTGGAGGGGTGGTCTTGCCGGGGGCCATAAACAGGCTAGAGCTAGAGCTTCTGCAGATGAGTGTTCAGATTCAGAAGAGGCAGTCTTATTTTTTTCTCCCTTCTCCTCCTTTTCTTCACTGGCTGTTGAGGAGCTATTGTGTACCAGCCACTTCCCAAGGGACACATACCTGTCCCTTTGCAGCTTCTGATACATTGGTGGAGAAAGGTACTAAGCCCATGAACAGGAGAACCCAAAGGATAATTCCTTATGACATTGTCTTAAGGGCTGTGCAAGGAGACACCAGGATGTGTTGAGAGAGAATAGGGTGCACAGTTGAGACCAACTGATCAGAGAATGCTGCTCTGAGGAAGTGACTCTTCATTTAAAAACTGAGGGTAAATATGTAGGTGAAGGCAAGAGCAGGGACACAGGCCCAGCGCGGGGTAGAGCCTGAGGACTGAGCTGCTGAAATGTGGGTAAGCAGCACTAGATGAGGTTGGAGACATAGGTGGGGGCCAGAGCCAGCCAGTGGGGCTCCCTGTCAACACAGAGTAGTGGAGAGATTCGGCCCTAGGAGTCAACACAGATTAGAATTTGTGTCTCCTTCCTAGCTGTGCAACCTTAGGACAACTTATTCAACCTCTCTGGGCCTCTATTCTCTTACCCATAAGATAGGAATAATTAACAATACCTAGCTCATAGTTGCGGGGATTAAGTGAGATGCTGAGTCTATGGTGCCCTTCCCAGAGCCACGCACAAGGTAAATATTCAGTGAACAAGGGCTTCCAACTTTTGAAGTAAGTTTGGGGTACCAAGGCCCTGCCTCCCACCTCTGGAGCCACCTAGGAGGGACTCTGCAGGAAGAACAGGGTTGGGTCATTCTTATTTTGGGGAGAGCTACATGTAAACCTGGCTTCCTCTGCTGTCAGTGAGCACCCTAGGTTAGACTCAGGGAACGTCTTCCTGATTTTAGCTCCTTGTTAAATCCTTACTATACAAAAGTGAAAATGAGTAGTACTGTTTTTCATTTTAAAAAATATTTTATTTATTTATTCATGAGAGACAGAGAGAGGCAGAGACATAGGCAGAGGGAGAAGTAGGCTCCCTGAGGGGAACCCAGTGCAGGACTCCTTACCAGGACCCTGGGATCACGCCCTGAGCCAAAGGCAGACGCTCAACCACTGAACCACCCAGGCGCCCCACTGTTTTTCATTTTTACCTATGCTGCTAGATGAAGCTCACAAACATAACACTGAGCAAAGGAAGCCAGACTCAAATGAGTCCATCGTGTATAATTCCATTTGTGTGGTGTTCCAAACAGACAAAATGAATCAGTGGTGCTAAAAGCCAGAATAGTGGTTATTCTTGAAGAACTAGGGACTGGAAGGGGCACGAGGGAGGTGCCTGGGAGGTGGGTATTGTTCTGTTTCTTGATCTCGGTTCTTGTTTCACGGATGCATTCTTTTCATGAAAATATATCAAGCCATACATGTTTATGTACATCTTCGGTAGGCATGTTATACCTTAACTAAAACTGTGCATTGACAAACAGGGACTCTCTCACTCTCGTCCTGGTCTGGCCCCCGAAGCACATGTTTTTTATTCCTTTGGAGGCCTTCTATGTCTTTATCCTATAAGTGAGAGGACATCTGTGAGAAAAGCTGCAGGATCCCCCTTTGCATCAGGACAGCATGCCCTGGCTGGGGTGTCCTCGGCTGTGACCCTGTGCATCTTGCCTGGTTTCTGGCTCCCAGCACCGAGTACAGGCGCTTGGCTGTGCTCCCATTTTGGCACCAGCCTGCTGGGGATGCTGGAGATTGTCTTTTTCTGGGGATGGTTGGAGAAATGCTGGCCTGTCGATTCTGACTTCTCTCAGCCTTGGTGGCTGGGGCTGGGTAGAGCAGGGGACTATCCGAGCAGGACTTATAAAGAAAAACCTATCTAGGGCAGCCCAGGTGGCTCAGCAGTTTAGTGCTGCCTTCAGCCCAGGGCCTGATCTTGGAGACCTGGGATCGAGTCCCACGTCAGGCTTCCTGCATGGAGCCTGCTTCTCCCTCTGCCTGTGTCTCTGCCTCTTTCTCTCTCTGTCTCATGAATAAATAAAGTCTTAATAAAAATAAAAACCTATCCAACTCCTCCTTTTTAGACAAGACCAGGACCAGAAAGAGGAAGTGACTTGTCGGAGGACACTCAGGGGTAGGGACTGGTGGTCTGACTCTTAGTCTAGGGCTCTGGCTATCACACCATCAGAACTCATGAAGCACAAATTCATTTTTGCTCTCATTCGAATGTTTCTGGGGAGTAGGGGAAAATATGTGGCAGGGTGTTTTTTCCCCTTTGACCTTGAGAGTAGGGTAGCAACTCTGAGAGTCAGAGTCAGGAGTGTGAGCATTTGGGAAGGAGTGATGTTCCGCAGAGGGATGTATGCCCAAAAATATGAGGTAATTTAATGTATATGATCTATATCATATAGTGATCAGCGCTTTCTCCTTTCCTATACTTATAGTACTTTACTTAGATTATTGCATTAACATGAAGTGATAAAATGTTATGCCAAACCGATCTCAACAAGAAGCTAGTCCAAGTCTTGATTTTATAGACAAGGAAAGGGAGGCTGAGGGAGGGCAAGTAATTTGTCCAAGGTCGCAGAATAAGCAATACAGAAAGTGA